GTATAATGTAATTGATGACTGATTCTCATCCTCAGTCTAGCCCTGTTCCTAAACAGGATAAGTCTCTTATTGAGGTACAGGATGTTGATGGGGAGTGCAACATTAGGCTGGGAGGTAATGTCTTGTAATCATTTGGGATGTTCCCAGGTCCCTTTATATGTGAACAATATAGTTTCACTATCTTTACTTTTGTCCTTATTGTGACAGTAAACACTTGCTGAAAGGAAGTTTTCCATTAACCTCAAAATTGAAGGACTCTGTATTTTATGCTATTTCATTATTTGAACTTGCATTGTCATGTTACAGTTGGTTATACTGTGTTTTCAAATACAGAAGTTATTAATATAGGCTTACAGGATCTGTCTTGTAACCATTCCAGTGTTCCTCAGTTTTCTCAGATATAAGAAGAGACTAAGATGGAACTAGCTCTCATTCAGATTCAGATGAGAAAAAGCGGTCATATGCCTCTATTTTGAAGGACAGCATAAAACACTCTTGTGAATTCTGTACTGGGAATCTTTTTAAGAGACAGGATCTCACTCGGTTGCCCAGGCTGGAGTGAAGTAGTACAATCATAGCAACCTCAAACTCCTGGGCTGAAGCTATTCTCCCTCCTCAGCCTCCTGAGTAGCTTGAATCACTACAGGCACACACACCACCATGCCCAGCTCTTTTTATTATCATTATTATTATTATTATTATTATTATTATTTGTAGAGACAGGGTTGCCCAGCCTGGTCTCAAACTCCTGGCCTTAAGCAATCTTCCTGTCCCAGCCTCCCAAAGTGCTGGGATTACAGGAATGAGCCACCATGCCCAGCTGTACTGGGACTCTTGATAAACTGTTATTCAACATTTCCTTTGGGGAGCTAACATCTGGGCATTTCACAGGGCTCCATAATAATGGCTGGTGGCTTCAGTTTTGTCAGCCACCCAGCCTGTATGTGAGTCCTCTATTCCACCTGACCTCCCCTCATCCCCTAGACATACCCCTTGAAGTTCCAGGGTCTGTATATTTCCAAGTCTCCTTTGGGTGTGGCCTGGCCCGGCACATGGCCATGGTGACCACATTGCTCAAAATCAGATCCCTTCTGCATGTTATGGGGTCCACACCATGCCAAGTACACCAGCCATGGGAAGGAAAATGTAATGCAGGAGATGAGAACCCAGATACCAGTAAGAGATACAAGAAGGGCAGCCAGGCACAGTGCCTCACACCTATAATCCCAGCACTTTGGGAGGCCAAGGTGGGTGGATCACCTGAGGTCAGGAGTTCAAGAACAGCCTGGCCAACATGGTGAAACCCCATTTCTACTAAAAATACAAAAATTAGCTGGACATGCTGGTGGGCACCTGTAATCCCAGCTACTTGGGAGGCTGAGGCAGGAGAATTGCGTGAACCCAGGAGGCAGAGGTTGCAGCGAGCCAAGATTGTGCCACTACACTCCAGCCTGGGCAACACTATTGAGAGAGAGAGAGAAAGAGAGAGAGCGTGCTACAAGAAGGGCAAATCTGAAAGCGGTCAGAGGTGAGGCTCAGAGTCAGACAGCTCCAGAACCCAATTACCGGGGTTAAAGTTCTCGTTTTCTCATTCTGTCATTATTCTCCAAGTGTCTTTTGGCAAGTTTCTTAGCCTTCTATTCCTCACTTTCATAATCTACAAAATAAGAAGTAATAGCAATATACACTTCATGGAGTTTTGATGCAATTAATTAAAGTTCTTGGCACATAATTAAATTTCTCTTAAAAAAAAAAAAAAACTCGTAGTACTATCATCATCATTATTGTCCTGGAGTAAAGAATTGGAAGCCATGAAGGAAAGTTTTCCCAACTATATTAGTTTCCTTGGCCTGCCATCCCAAAATACCACAAATCAGGTGGCTTGAAACCACAGAAGCATATTATCTTATAGTACAGGAGTCCAGAAGCCTGAAATCATGGGATCATTGTGTTTGCTTCCTTCTGGAAGCTCTGTGGGAGAAACCAGCCCCTCCTCTCTCCTAACTGCTGGTGGTGGCCAACAATCCCTGGTGTTCCTTGGCTGGTAGATGCATGACTCCAGCCTCTGCTTCCATCTTCTCTGTGTCCCTATGTCTTTGCCTTTTCTGTCTCATAAAGACATTTTTGCTGCATTCAGGGTTCACACTAATCCGGTGTGATCTCATCTTAAACCCTACGTTAAGTACATCTGCAAGACCCTTATTCCAACTGAGTTCATATTCTGATATTCCATGTGGACATAAATCTTGGGGTGACTCTATTCATACCACTACAGCAACTAAGAGCAGTTTACAATAAAATCAGAAAAAGAAACCATGAACAATTCCTGGAAAGAATGTCATCTAACCCTGGGCATGATGTTTATGGGCTAAAAAGACTGTGTTGTGTGGGTTGTCAATCCAGCAAACTGGGCTACCCTGAAGTGACATCACTGAGTCAGAGCCAACTGTCAAACACAGAGTTAATCACTGTACTCCCATTCCAACTGGGGCAAACTTTTCTGGAGAAAACATGTATCTGACAGGGACAGGCTGTACACATCAGGCAACATGCACAGGTAGTAAGCTCTTTGCCCTGTCTCTCCTGACATGTTGTAGTCACGATTTAACCCCGAACTCATTCCAACATTGAGTAATACAGTGCAAAGGGCATGGGCTTTACAGCCTCAGGAAACTGGATTCTAATCTCATCCTCTGCAACTTACTAGCTCCGCTTGCCACCTTCATGGCCTCAGAGGAGGTACTTACCCTCTCCAAGCCTTAATTTCTGCATCTGAAAATTGGTCATAAAACCATCAACAACTTGCAAAGCTGCTCTAAGTATGAAAACTAATGTATGCAGAAGCTGCACCCCAGTACCTGACGTAAATTTCAATGAGTGGTTGCTATTTGTCTTAGTCTATTTGCACTACTATAACAAAATGCCTGAGACTGGATAACCTATAAAGACTAGAAATTTATTTCTTACTGTTCTAAAGGTTGGAAGTTCAAGATGGCACCTTGCTACTGAGTCCTCCAGAAGAGACCAGTGCTATGCCCTCACATAGGAGAAGGACAGGAGGGCAAGAGGGCCTACCTAGTTCACTCCAGCCCTTCTATAAGGTTGGAGTGAGGGCTCCACCCATTCATGAGGGCTCCACCCTCATAAATGAATCACCTCCTAAAGTTCCCACATCTTAATACTATCACACTAGTGATTAAGTTTCAATATATGAATACAGGAAGACAAATTTAGAAAAACAGCACTATTATCATTATTGTGAGGTAGTAGTTTCATCTGTCCCCCACTAGGCTTGAGGGCAAGAAAGCCAAAGGGACCCTGAAGAAGAGCTGTGAAGATCCATGTGTCTACATGTATCTCAATATCTCTTCCTCCACCACCACCTGCACTCCAGCAAAAAGTAAACTGCATAAACACACAGTAAATATTCACTGACGTAAATGACACACAAACTGCATTCCAAATATAAGCACTGCCTCAATGAATGAACTTCCAATAGCCTTTCAAAATTTGGAGCCCAACCAGGATAGCCCTTGACAAATTATTTCCCTTTCTTGACTTAGCAAATGAACGCTGTACAATGCAAAGGCAACACAAAGTAGTATTAGTCCTCTAGTGTATGTCAATATTTAGAGAGGCTTGGACCATAGAATGGTATTTGGAGGCCAGGCATGATGGCTAATCCCTGTAATCCCAGAACTTAGGGAGGCCAAGGCAGATGGATCACTTGAGGCCAGTAGTTCGAGACCAGTCTGGCCAACATGGTGAAACCTCATCTCTACTAAAAATACAAAAATTGGCTGAGTGTGGTGGAGTGGGCCTGTAATCCCAGCTACCTGGGGGGCTGAGGCATGAGAACTGCTTGAACCCAATAGGTGGAAGTTACAGTGAGCCAAGATCGCACTACTGCACTTCAGCCTGGGTGACAAAACAAGATTTTGTCTCAAAAAAAAAAAAAAAAAAAAGCATTTGCAGGCCACGTAACGCCTCTTTCATGACAGCGTTTTTATTACTTTATTTACTTTGTATTATTAAAGTAACACATGTTCACTGGAGAAATGTTAGGAAATACAGGCAAGGAAAAACAATAAAAATCATTCTTAATTTCATGTATAAAGAGAGATTTTTTTCTTTAACAATACCTTACAACATTTTCCCAGTCATTAGTCTTCAACATCATTTTTTAAAGTTGTCTAATATTCCATTATATAAACCTACCAATATTAATTAAACCTATCCCTCATCACAGGAATTTTAACTTCATTCCAATATTTAGTTACTGAAAACAAAAATGCAATGATATGAACATATTCCTTATTTATTTTACAAATTCATAATAATTTGGCATTTATTAGAACCTTGCTCCCTGCCCCAAACATTTGCAATTAACCCAGAAGTAAATTTCCTTGATTTATGAAAAACTGATTTTTTTATCCGGTCTGAAAATCTGCTTGCAGCTTTGGCTGTGTGATCTAATGCAAGCCCTTTCCTGGCCACCTATATCCAGTAACTAATCGGTACTCGACTTTCTCAGCTCTGGCCGCTTAGCTTACTTGTTCAGGGCACAAAGGCTAATAGGGTCAATGTCATGGGATATGAACTGGATATATACAGGCTAGTTAGTTTGCAAGTCCAAAGACTATTTCTGTAACTCCAGACAGCTGCCATTTAAAAGCTGGCTGTTTCCCAGAACTGGGCAAAAGAGCATGGGTGGATCAACACAAATTCATCACCACTACTGGAAAGATAATGTGTCAACAGCTTCATCTTCCCCACAAAAAATAGCTCAGAAAAGTATTCATATTAAATTATATAAAACTGAGGAGGCTGTAGAAGAAGAAGAAAAAATAATATTGGGAGGACAATTAGCTGACCTTACACTTTTCTTGGTTTATCAGCTTAGTCTGCGAGTAACCCGCCATTTCTACACGAGAAAAACTCAGCAACATGTTTCAAACTGTGGATGGTGGTGTTATTTAACAGGCGATATTCTCTTGCAGCTGACACAGCCCTTGGCACTGATGATGTATATGATGAAAAAGGATGCCAGTGTGATGTATCAGTGGAAGACCTCACCCCACCACTTAAAACTGTCATTCGAGCTATCAGGTCGGTGAAAATCTTGAACAAAGTGATTCAGAGACATACTTCTGATTAATTGAATTGCTATGTTGCTAAGTTATTTTTCTACAGGCAAATATCCTGAAATAACCACTTTCCCTTTTCCTGTTCATCCATAGGCCTATACATTGTGAAATATTTGTTTCTTAATACAAAACTCTGCTGTGTTCAACGCAAAGTGTTATAAAACATGGGTGGGATTTGAAAAGCCAGGCCATATTAGAGAGATTCCACAAGTCTTGGCTTGTCCTGTGTATTTGCTGCTTTAAGGACATTTTGAGTATTGCAGCAATTGGATTTTTAAATTATTTTTATGACTTGCTCATATTTTATATACAAATATAATGTATAAAATATAATTTTATATACAAATACAAATATAACTTGCTCATTTTATATACAAATCTGTATTCTGTACAGAATTGTATATCAAAGAAAAGGCCTTGTAGGCTATTTTAAAATGTGTTGAGTTCTGAAAATGGGAAACTTGAAGTATTTTGCAGTGACTTAGTCTTATTCTCTGAAATGTAATTGTTAAAAGCTTCTCTTAATTTGCTTCCTCTACTGATAGCTGAGAGCTAAGAGAGTACACATAGCAACTTAAATTTACATTTTCCATGACCTTTCCCACCACACACACACACACACACACACACACACACACACACACACACAATCTGGATCTGGACTAGATGAACTGCTGCATGCTCAGCCAGCCCAGTTTAATCCTTTTGGGAGAATTTGTATCTGTCACAGAATGCTGGGTAACTATATTGAAAAAAAAAAAAAAAAAAAAAAAATAAAAAAACCAAAACAAGAAAGGAAAAATGGCTCATGCCTGTAATCCCAGCACTTTAGGGGACCAAGAGGGATCACTTGAGATCAGGAGTTCGAGATCAGCCTGGCCAACATGGCAAAACCCGATCTCTATTAAAAATACAAAAATTAGCTGGGCGTGGTGGCAGGCACCTGTAATCCCAACTGCTTGGGAGGCTGAAGCAGGAGAATCACTTGAGCCCAGGAGGTGGAGGTTGCAGTGAGCAGAGTTCACGACTCTGAACTCCAGCCTGAGCAAAAGAGCAAGACTGTGTCTCCAAAAAATAAAATATCCACACCAATTTAGCTATTCAGATGCTTGGTCTAATTTAAATATCAGTATGATTGATTACTTCTATTTTTAGTTAGTCATTTGGCATCACGTTAGACACTGCTTTACTCGAGTTGCTGGGAAAACAGAAATGAATTCTAAAGATTTTCATAAATATTTGTGGGGTTAAAGAAAAGCATGGTATGTTAAAACTCCAGAAGATGCTTAGACACTATCTGTAACAGCAGCCTAAAAAAAAAAGTGAAGTCCAGTTACTTCTCAATGGAACCCTCAAGTCGCAAACCCTATGGGTGGAGAGATTATACCTTCCTGTTTGGCCTGGACAGTCCCAGATTATGCCTGTAGTCTCATCACAAATGTTAATAATGCTCCGCATCTTTCTCAAAGTGTCCTAGTTTGGACAATCAATTAAATGGTCACCATATCACTGGTGAACCTAGAAGCCTTGGGTGATGTATAAGCCCAGATAACCCAGAATATGTAGTGCAAAGATGTCTAAAGCCTTCAGTTAAAGGGATAGAGAGGATTTAGAGCTGCGCTGTCCAATATGATAGTCACTGGCTACTTGAGACTATTGAGGCTATTTAAATTTGGATTAATTAAAATAAAATACATTTTAAAATTAATTGATCAGTCACACCATTCATATTTCAAGTGTTCAATAGCCACAGGTGGCCAGTGGCTACTTCATCAGAGAAAGAAACAGAACATTTCCCTCGTCACAGAAAGTTCTATTGAACATTACTGGTCTAGAAGTCACCTTGAAATTTTTCACATGCATTGAGTATATCCATAAAAGACCCTAAAGTAAAGGTGGGGCAATTCAGTCCACAAATTAATCTGACTTGCAACAAGTATGGAAAATCTTATCTAGTGAAAGCAGATCAGGCTTCCTAAAGTCATGCTTAACCCAGTTTATGTCATTTCCCAAGACCTTCTGAAGCTTTCTTCTTTTGCTTTACAACCTATAAAAAGGATTGCGAGCTTCAAGAAAGAAAATGAAATAGGTTTATTCTGCCAGCTAAGCACTTTAGCAACAGCTTAAGATTTTCTTTGTTATTCTTCTTGAAACTCGACTGATTTTGGTGAAGTCCTTTGCAGAATTCCCTCGCTATTCAGAATTCTTTCTTGGTTCTTATTTTTAATGTAATTTTACATTTACATATCTATCTTTTGGTGGATTCCTGAAGTTTTCTGCTTGCTGCTTTGTGATACCTAAGGGGGATGCTTTTCTCCTCCATATCCTGATTCTGCTTAGTGCTTTTTCATCACTTCTAAATTCCATTTAAAATTAACAGATTCTGTCGCTTGAACCCAGGAGGCAGAGGTTGTGGTGAGCCAAGATCGCGCCACTGCACTCCAGCCTGGGCAACAGAACGAGACTCTATCTCAAAAAAAAAAAAAATTTTAAAAAAAAATAAGATTAACAGATTCTATAAATACCTAATAGATACGCTCAATAGCTTAATAACCTAACTGAAAATTTTTTACTCATGGTATACTTCATTTCTAAAGATAAATAATTTTAAAACCAACCAATACAATTAGCATTCTAAAAAGAAGTTTGTAGGTATAAGTCCTAAATCTTATGCAGAAGGTTTCTTTTCCTAAGGAGTTTAATTATGTTAATAAGTTCAACATCAGTTGCTGGAAAGGTTTTTTGCCAGAACATGCCCACCTCTTGCAGCTCCCCTGAAGCAGTATATATATTTATATTACTGATTGCAAGTGTGAAACATCTATTATTCATCTCTAAAATAGTAATTTCATTTTAACATTTTTCTTATTTTTAATTGTTAGAATATTTAATATGATACTTAAATATGCCTTTTGTATTTCAGTAACTGTTGCAATAGTAGTTTTTCCTAAGAGCCAAATTAAAATGGGTAACAAAAAATACACATTCCACTGCAAGAATGACAGTATGGAAAATAATACTACTACCTTCACAAAGAGCAAAGTAAGAATTCTTATTTTCAGCTATCAATATTTATTAAACACCTGCCATTTTCTACAACCATCTGATCTTTGACAGACCAGTCAAAAACAAGCAATGGGTAAAGGATTCCCCGTTTAATAAATGGTGTTGAGAAAACTGGCTAGCCATGTACAGAAAGCAGAAACTGGACCCCTTCCTGACACCTGACACTAAAATTAACTCCAGATGGATTAAAGACTTAAACATAAGACCTAACGCCATAAAAACCCTAGAAGAAAACCTAGGCAAAAACATTCAGGACATAGGTGTAGGCAAGGACTCCATGACTAAAACACCAAAAGCAATGGCAACAAAACCCAAAATAGACAAATGGGACCTAATTAAGCTCCAGAGCTTCTGCACAGCAAAAGAAACAATCATTAAAGTGAATCGGAAACTAACAGAATGGGAAAAAATTTTTGCAATCTACCAATCTGACAAAGGGCTGATATCCAGAATCAACAAAAAACTAAAACACATTTACAAGAAAAAACAAACAAGCCCATTCAAAAGTGGGCAAAGGATATGAAGAAGCACTTTACAAAAGAAGACATATATAAGGTCAACAAACATATGAAAAAATGCTCATCATCACCGGTCATAAGAGAAATGCAAATCAAAACCACATTGAGATATCACCTCATGCCAGTGAGAATGGCAATCATTAAAAAATCTGGAGACAACACATGCTGGAGAGGATGTGGAGAAATGGGAACACTTTTACATTGTTGGTGGGAGTGTAAATTAGTTCAACCATTGTGGAAGACAGTGTGGCGATTTCTCAAGGATGTAGAAATAGAAATTCCATTTGACCCAGCAATCCCATTACTGGGTATATACCCAAAGGATAATAAACTGTTCTATTATAAAGACACATGCACACATATGTTCACCATGGCACTGTTTACAATAGCAAAGACCTGGAACCAACCCAAATGCCCATCAATGATAGACTGGACAAGGAAAATGTGGCACATATACATTATGGAATACAATGCAGCCATAAAAAATGATGAATTCGCGTCCTTTGCAGGGACATGGATAAATCTGGAAACCATCCTTCTTAGCAAACTGACACAAGAACAGAAAATCAAACACCGCATGTTCTCACTCATAGGTGGGTGTTGAACGATGAGAACACATGGACTCAGGGAGGGGAGCCACACACTGGAGTCTATGGTGGGGGAAACTAGGGGAGGGACAGTGGGGATTAGGGAGTTGAGGAGGGATAACATGGGGAGAAATGTCAGATATAGGTGATGGGGAGGAAGGCAGCAAACCACATTGCCATGTATGTATCTATGCAACAATCTTGCGTGTTCTTCACATGTACCCCAAAACCTAAAATGCAATAAAATATATATTTTAAGAATAAAAAATCTGCCATTTTCTAGAGATGATTAAAGATACTCTTTGAACTTGTCTGGATGCTATTGTCCAAACGCATTCTGACACGTTTCTAATAATGTCACTGTTTAAAGTACATAGTAAAGAATGACTATTTTTAGACTTTTTCCAAAATATGTCCTCTACTCAGAAGAAAACTTCGTTTTGTATATTTCCTCCTGAATTGTCACAGATTTTTCTCAGAATATTATTTCATGGAAATGCAAAAGTTGGCTGGAAATATGTTTCCAAACTCACCTCTGGGAGTGAAGACTGTACTTTAACAAAACCTCCATATTTTAGTGATTCAGTTCAAACAATGTTAAGTTTCTTTTCATTCATAGAAATTAGTTCCTAAATGGAAAGATAAAATTAGCAGGAAAGTAAGTCAGCAAATGGATAAACTCTAGAGGATTCTACACACTCACTTATACCTATTTCATAGTAGGTTACCCGTTTTTCTATCACTGACTGAAAAATATAGCCCATAAATTACCTAGATGTGTTCCTTTAAAA